GGGGGCGCCCACCAGCGGCACCCGCTCCGCGCCTCACCTCCGGCATCGGCATTGCGACACGCTCGGAAACGATGCCACCATGTGAACGCACTTCTCATTGCATGACGGGGCACTAAAACTGTGAGGGGAAAGCTTCGGAAAAAACGAATTTGGCACATGAGAGGCTGCCGGAGCAGCAGTGACTGGGATGCAAGTGCTGCGCTTCGGCGTTAGAGGGCAGGACACCACTAGGTATGCCCCGCGCCCGGCGCTGCGCTTCACTTAAAGCCAGGAAAATTGAGGGTTCATTTTAAAGGCTTCCAGATTTTTCCAGACTATGATGATAGTAAGATAACGCTTAAATACAGTTTTGCCTCCACTTCCACGAATTACTGGCATGAGCACTGTTTAAGATGTATCTAGGCACTCTTGAGATGAGCTTTTTATTGGTTTCTTACTGGATCTTAATTAAACAGGGGCACAACCATTTATGTTTATCAAGCCTCAGAATCTGTGCACTGTATCTCTGGGTTCTCGGTCCGAGCGCAGAAACGCTCTACCTCATTTACTCCAGGTAAATTCTTCTTCTACCCTTTCTCTTGAGCAGGGGTCTGTGCAATCGTTCACACCGTCTCCAGTGGAGTATCATTCCTCGGGGCTCATATCCAACTCCCCAGTGCTGTCGGGGAGTTACAGCAGCGGCATCTCTTCGCTCAGCCGATGTAGCACGTCGGAGACATCAGGCTTCGAAAGCCAAGGCAGCGAACCAGCAGTGACTGTCCCAAGCTACAGCGTTTCCGAGGAGCCTGTGAGAAAAGAAAGTAAAACCCCGCCGCCTTACAGCGTGTACGAGCGGACTCTGAAGCGCCCCGTTCCTCTACCTCACAGCCTCTCCATCCCGCCCGCCGCGGACCCGCCGGCGCTGCCACCCAAGCCGCAGCTGGTCCGGCCAAACAATCTGGAAAACAGCAGCAGGAGGACTGAGCAGGTTCCCCGGCCCAGGCCTCTGCCCCGCAAAGTCTCTCAGCTATGAGAAGCCACTTTTATATTTAATTGCAACTGATTCTTTACCGTTTAAGAAATAATATTTTTTAAAAATGGTAAAACGCGTTTAGTTAGGCACTTTAATATTGCACCCACCTTTTCTTTTGAGTAATTTTGAAATGCTTATTAATATTATGTTGCACATTTGAAATGGAATTACTAATTTAGGTTGCCAGATATTATAGGAAGCATGAATGAAAGGATTTTTTTTTTTTTATTTCATGGCGGTAAATACTGATAAATGCTTTTATTTGTACTTTATTTTTATTTAAAAGATTGAATCTAAAAACCCTACAACTCTCATCTGAGACAGCCGAATGCTTCTGACAAAATACAGAATATACTGACTGGATCTTTACTACTAGAGATAAATGCACGCTTTCTAACAAAGTAGTCTGTAGACTAGGACGTTTCTGCAAGTAGGCTGAAAGTTGTTTCTCTTATCCGATGAACAAGTTGGTCATTTCAAATGTCTGTGGAAAAACAGAGATATAATGCAAGTTATACTGCAGAGAACTGTTGTAAGAACATGAATTGGAGTTTTTGAAACACACGCTTGATGGATGTTATTTTTAATATGGAGAAATACCTGCATTTCATTCAGCGTACAGCACCATTCTGGTGAATCTTGATAAGGTTTTGTGCCATTAGCGTATTACTGTACCTGACACATCCTTTTCTTTTTGAGGTGCAATTTATTTTTATTCTTCCAGTTAATTTTTTCGTTGTTGTTGTTGTTGCTTTGGTTTTGTTTTTTAAAAAGGTAGCAGGTTCTCTGCTGTTTCTGAAAGTTCACCCTAAAATACAATCTGTGTATGAAACATGTACAAGTGAATCATTCGTTTAACTTGTGGACAAGAATCAGTACTGACTAGTACCAAGGCAATACACTAAATTAACAAATTTTTAAAAATACAAATTACTGGATATTGATCAATAAATTTCAAAAGCTAATAGCAAAGGTCATTAATAATTCTGTAAAAACCTAGCAAAAATTCTGAACAGCTTTTTGGACGTGTATGTACCAGTGGAGTCAGGTTTTGGATTTGCTTTTTAGCTTGAGTTCATCACCATCATCTTTACTGTAGGAGAATGGTGTTTGGCCTTAAGTCGTGTTTTAGTAACTGCCATCTGAAGAGCTCTGGAAAGCTAATGCCAAGCCTTAGGAATGTGGAGGGGAAAAAAAAAATCACAAAAACAAAAGCACCTTCTTTATGTATTTTTTGTATGCTCTTTCTTTTACTGACTGTCTAACATGTGCTTGGGAACAGGTGTATGAACTGCATTTTAAATCATGCTGTTAAAAATATTCTCCCTCTTTTGTTGGGAAGCTCATGTTGATTTTAGCTGTGTTTGATTTGTTGATAGTTTGACTGGAAGAAAGTGACCACTTTTTATATTCTCTCAATTAAACCTTCAGCAGTTGCAAGCTGTTGACGGTAGTTATAGAGGTTTTCTATAATAAATGTTCAAGTATTTTTGTACATAATTGGTAAATTTTAATAAGGAGTGTACCATTATGTGAAAAAGAAGCAAACAGTTGTGTATGCAGTAAGATTGTTATAATTATGCCAAATACTTTATGTATGGAAAAAAGAATATTTGTAAATATGTGCTTTTAACAATAATTCTGCCATATTGACTTTACAATTTTGAATGTCAGAAAAAATTAATATATGTTAAAATATTTATGTTTTAGTGAAAGTATTCATAACTTGAACGTATGAATTTTAGCTTTGTATCTTGCTGATTTCAAAGTCTGAAATTCCTTGAACTAGCTCTTGCTTTTTACTATAACATTTTTGTGTCTGTAACCACATCATAAAAGGTGTAGAAGCCTACATATTTATGCTGATATAAAAAAGTAATGCCTGAGATTTAAATAAGGTGTCACAAGTAAGATAACAAAGCTGCTTTGATTTTATCTTTTTCTCCCACCCCTGTGTAGTTTAATAGATTTTGTTGACTAGTGCTTGAGCACAGTATGAATCAGTGTTATTTGCTCCTGAAGCCATTTTTTTTTACTTCTGGCAGTGAGCAGAGTTGATGACTTTATCATTTGTGTGCATTACTGAAGTCAGCTTTGCAGCAAAACATTTCACAAAGTTTCTGTTTACCTAGACACTCCTATTGGTTGCTGCATAATGTTAATATGGAATAAAATTACTTGATTAATCTTTACAGTACAACTTGTTTTCTACAGAATGAGAGATTTTAATTCAGTTTGTCATGGAATTAAAGTTCTGACTCCTTGTCTTGCTAAATCCAGTTTTCTTTCCATTAAAAATCTCCTGATGGATCTAGTTTTCTCCCTATTTGGATCCATAATTGCTTTGTGAGACAATGTGGAGAGTATTGACCTGCTCTTCTGAACAAGTGAAGAATGTAAAATTTACTAGGAGAGCTCACTGTAAATTAACCTGCATGAGCGCTCTGTTTTTATAACCGTGACATCAGGAATACTCTGAATGATAGCAGATGGTGTAAAATTGACAGAGTACTCTAAAACCGAGCTGACATATTTTCTGCTTAGCCAGTTTTGACAAATTGATTCTGTAGATCAGCTTTTCAACCTGATTTCCTATAAAAAATGTAGTATGAAATTTTGTTATGTATGTTGCAACACCCAGCGCTTGAAAACCTAATGTAAATAAAGGTCTCGTTTGAATTTTATGTATTACTCATAAATGTAGTTTTATCACTTTCTGGATGACAGTGAGTAATTTAGAAGCTCGTATAAGAGGACCTACGAGAACAAGTTGCTGTTACTACTCAATAGCTGGAATGTTGGCCAAAGTATGCATAATAGGTAGGATGATCTTGTGTTCAAATACTGCCTTTGAGATGCTGGTACCTCTACGATGCTGTCGTGGTTTAGGCCGATCCGGCAACTAAACTCCACACAGCCGCTCTCTCACTCCTTCTCCACTAAAGTGGAGAGGAGAAAAATATAATAAAAGGATTGAGGGTCGAGACAAGAACAGAGAGGGAGCACCCACCAACCATGGTCCCGGGCAAAACAGACTCGAATTTAAAGCAAAGCAATTTATTAAGAGCTACTTAAAAGAACAAGGACAAACAGAACCAGTTACTTGAGAGGACAAAAGGGAACAAAGCCAGATCTTAAAAACAACACGTTCCTGCCCCCCATTCCTTTCTTCTTCCTGGCTGTACCTCCTCCCCCCAGCGGCACAGGGGGACAGGGAATGGGGGAGTGCAGGTCAGTTCATCCCATGCTGTTACTGCCGCTCCTTTCTCAAAGGAGGAGGAGTCCTTACATCCTTTTCCCTTTCTCCAGTGGATCCCCTACTCACAAGGAAAATCCACAAACTTCTCCAGCATGAGTCCTAACTGCAGGATGCAATCCTTCCCCATCGGATTGCTCCAGTGCAGGCTTTACCACAGTCTCAGATTCTTAGGGAGTTGTTGCCACTCACTCCGGCGTGGGTCATCACACAGACTCCAGATGCCTCTCTACCTTGTCATGCATCCCATACTTCACGACCATCCTCAGGCTCAGGCATCTCCTCTCCACGGGCTGCGCGCGGGT